GAATTGAAATGAATTCTCCATAATAACTAGATGTTAAGGTGGTTGGTGAGATTTAATTGGTATTATTGCTTGTGTCTCCGACAGACCTAGCAATATTTATTCTGTGTAGAGTAAAAATTGGTCAACAAGCAAATAGGTAAGATGTTTTTGATAAAACTGAATTTCATGAAAGAATAAACATGTTCTAAACTTTTTTTTTTGGTGGTACTAGAGTTTGAACTCAGGGCCTCACACTTATTAGGCAGGCTCTCTACCAAATGAGACACTCTGCCAGCCCCAACATGTTCTAATTTCTTTCAAATTTTTGCTTCTTTTCTGCAAATAATCAGAACACAAAATACAGCAGTTTCACATGTGGACAGAAGACCAGAGTTACATTGAGCCCACACTCCTTCAAGAGAAGGGGAGGTGACAGTCAAGGACATCCCCTAGATGGATGCACAGGCTCAAAGCTACATTGTCTTCAGCAATCATGGGAGAGGTTAATGTGAGCAATTTCCATTGTCAGCCAGCTACCATTCAGGAGCTTACTCGCTGTTTTCCACAATAGCTCTTTCTTCATGAAAGCCAGTTCTAGCTCTGTCCTCAACAATAGCATATGAAATTCTAAGTATTAACTGAATACTTAGATACAAATTTTGTATTCAGATTATACAATGTAACGCTTTTCCCTGGAATAAATCAGTTAATTTGCTCAATGTTTTTTCATCAGGCTTTCCAGTCTTTCCTTCATTACTTTTACACCCATCTTTCAGTTTTCCTTCATTACTTTTAATCTACCTTCCTTTCTAAAACTTTACAACTCTCTTAGACACATTTTGCCATTTGAATTTTTTTTCTCCATAAACACCAACAAGCTGAGAAAACACATAGATGACAAGAACCTTTCTCATATTAAAAAAAATAAGATTGATTATAGCATTTTATTTGCAGTGGGATTATGTCTAAAGGATTATCATTGAAAAGTCTAGTCACGGACAACTGAAACTCATCCTCTTGCAATGTTGTGATTTATCCACTATATTTATTGTGCTATATAAAGCACTGCTAGTTAAAATTAGAAATGTATTTTCCAGCATCTCATGTGTTTTCCTTTATAGATTTCTAAGGGTTAGAATGAAGTTGTTTATCAATAGAAAATATATCCACATTTTTAAGCTAGTATATTGAAATGATGGTATTGCTGAGTTCTCCATTTTAAAATACAGGAACTCTTAAAAAATGCTCATAAGCTCACATTCTAATTTAGTGTTATTTGCTTGTATTGGGAGCATTTTTAATATTGTAATCTCTTCCTTTTTTCTTTTCTCAAGGACTAAATATCTTATTTTTAGAATTCAGCTGTTCTCTTTTCCCCCTCTGACTTTCCCAACCCTTCTCATTTAATGTGAGAACTATCAAATCTTGGTTGTAAAAAATACCATAAGTAGGATTGGGGATGTGGCTCAGTGGTAAAGTGGTCATAGTATGTGTGAGGCCCTGAGCTCTGTCCCCACACTGAAGTGAGGGAAAAATGCATAAATATAGCCTTTTAAAGTAAAATTTTCTTAAAACTTTCCATGAAGTTATAGACTGGATGGAGACATGGCCAGCCTTCTGAAGTACAAAGAAACAACAGACTAACCAAACATTTTCCTGCTGCATGAAAAGGGTTGCCAGGTTTCTAGTGAAATACCCAAAATCTTACTCCCCAAAGCCTTCGTCTCCATGAAAGTAACATCAAGCTTCATATTCTACTGTTCCAGCATTGCACTTCAAATACTAAACTCTGCTTGAATTAGAATCTATATGTTACAGCTGATGCTTCTTACAATAGTGTATTTTTAAAAACAGAAATAAAATTATATTTTTCTCCTAAATAGAAGAAGCCTGGAGGGAGGCAGTTCAGGGAACTGGGCTTCCCTTGATCTAATCTATAACTTCACAGGTCATCTCAAGACCCGAGAGGCTGCTGAACTCTTGCCTTCATACCCACATTCCAGTACCAAGGGAGGGTAAAGACAGTCTCCTTTTGGTTAAATTACTTGTGTGGGTTTTTTGGTTTTGTTTTTGTTTTTTGAGGAAGTTCTCTCAAATTTTCTACCACACATTTGTTCGTAAGTCATATAACTACACCAGCAAAAAAAGAGACTGAGAATATGCCTTTAATTTAAACAGAAGTGTTCCCATAAATTTAGGGTTCCCAGAAATTAGGAAGGAGAGACCAACATTGGAAAGCAAAAGACAGTCCATGACATAGTACGTTATTTTTTGTCTTTTTTTTTTTTTTTTAAGCAGCACTAGGGTTTGAACACAAGTCCTCACACTTGCTAGGGAGGCACTCTTACCACTTGAGCCACTTCACCAGCTTTTTTTTGTAACAGGTTTTTTCAAGATAGGATCTTGTGAACTATTTGCCCTGAGTTAGCTTTGAACCACACCCTCCTGATCTCTGCCTTCTGAGTAGCTAGGACTGCAGGTGTGAGACACCGTTGCCTGGCTCACAAAATTTATTATAATTTATTTTTACTTCATAATAGTGAGATATTGGAAACAGCCTAAATGGCTTGGAGCACAAATGATAAATTAAATGCAGAATGTTCTCATGTGAAGTAGTCTTGATATTTAAAATATGGCTGCAGGTTTGGGGGTGTAGCTCACTGGTAGAGCATTTGCCTAGCATGTGCAAGACTCCAGGTTTGACCCCCAGCACTGAAAAAAAAATGTTTTAAAATATGGGTATACTACCCTTTACTGACATGGATAATTATCTATGGCACAGTTTCAAGTGAAAACAATAGCATCTATGCTATGATGCCATATCTGAACTCCGTGTTTGCAAAGATGATTTTAAATGTTAACAATGGGTAGGTAACCACGGGGCTAGTGTCTTTGTAATTTACTTTCTTTATGCTTTCCTGTGTATTTTGATTTTTTTTAATGAGCATATACTGTTTACATGATTACTATGGAAATAAAAAGACACCAAACAAAAATCATCTTCATTAGTTTAATAAAGGGGCTGGCAGAGTGGTTCAAGTGCTTGAGCATCTGCCTCGAAAGCGCAAAGTCCTAGTTCAAACCCCAGTACCACAAAAAAATTGAGTTTCAAATAATTTTAAACAGGTCAGCCTGTAAAACTTTCTATTTGCACATCCATCTTCAACCAGAAGAGTTTTTAAGCTACCCACTAGGCCCTGACTTCATATCAATAATATTATAAAGTGCACAGGTTGTTAATCTTTCATAACACTGAACTGTTTTTCAATAGTGAGAACTATTTATATGCTCTTCTTGTCTTAGACTTCCATACCCAGCTAATTTGAGTTTTATACCAACTCTTTCTGTGGATTTTTAGTATGGTATTCAGTAAAATAGTAAGACTTTTTAATCAATACCTTCTGAATATTTGTGCATGTGTTTTATTTACAGTAATTATTTCAGGTAGTCATTGTCTCTATTTTTGTTCTGTCATATGAGATTTTGTCAGTGAGAGAAAAATTGGATATTTCAAATCTAAATCGGCCTTTCCTACATGTATGACATTAAGTCCTTTGCCTCATAGCTTTTATCTCTGAAATGGGTAGAATAATGACTTCTTTACATCTAGTACAGTGTATCTGAAGCTAAAGTAAGGCAAATAGTGGGAAATTGTTTGAAAAGTCAGAAGCAGCATACGCAATACTGAGGCACATTGGCTTACCACAGAATCAAGGGCCTGTGCCACATGGGGCTTTTAAGCAGAAGCTCTCAGATTCAGTACCTCCCACAACACCTGCAGCCACTATGGCCAAACAAGTTGGTTGCTACTTCAAAGCGCAACAGAAAATTGAGGGGAGCAGGTGTTATAAGAAAGAAGACTAAATCACTAATCCAGAAATCTATCGTTAAAAAAGCAGCCAGAATTTCTTGTGTCATTTTCTTGTGTTGGGTGAGTAAACCTTAACTTGTCCTATAAATTATATTGTATGTAAGAATTTTTAAAGAATAGATTAAATGTGATTTTTCTTAAAATATCAGTTTCCGAGAAGGTCACTAATTCCAAACAGCTGAGAACTAAGTATGGTAAACTCACAGAGGAAAAACACATCCTAAAAGATTAAGAACAAATATCTTTCTCATTTGACTAAAGCAAAAACATAGCTTACTTAGAAAATTAGTCACTCTGCACATGTGTGCACATACGCACACACACACACACGCACCCACACTATAATATCATCACCTTTGTAATGACATCTGCCTTAACTTCAATTTTCACGGATAGAGGAAATTGGGGGTAGTGAGTTCTGAGACTCATTAGTCACAGTTGAATTTTCTCTAAGCTAAGTTGAATTAAGCAGTGATGGAGGAACATTAGGGGCGCCTCTTCACTTAGGTAGGTCTCCTGGTTAGCACCTGGATAAGCTCATATTGCCTTGGTGACCAAGCCAAACTGTCTTAATGTTGAAAAGGGTAATTGATGCTTATCGACTTTTGATGGTTTGGGTGAATTGCGGTTTCTCTCACTGTGTAGATGAGTTTCTCATTTTTCTTTTTTATAGTAAAAGGATTTGGTTGGAACATATAATAATAGTGAGGTTTTGATAATACCCCATGTATATACAGATTTGTTTCCCAACATTTTAAGCTTCCTTATATGTCCCCAGACCCGTTTGTGAGCTTTGTGTACTTTGAGGAGCACTTTTGGATTTGTGTTAGAGACACGATTAGCAATGGCTTTGAAACAGGTGCTCCATTTCCCCACAAGTGTAGCTTGAACCAGGAGCACCTTCTGGGTAATGAGATGACCTAGGCTTTAACCACTACAATGAGACAGGCTCCAAGTAACTTTGCTACACCTAAATATTCTCATCTTCAAAGTATTTTAGATGTTAACTATGTCACTGTGGTATTTATGTAGGCTTACTTGAACTTTTCTTAGAAAAAAAACTTCACCTTTGTAAACACATTAGCTTAAAGTGATACTATGTTTTGTTGATATGGTAATGATTACATTTCGTTTTCTCCCTTGCTTTTAGCTCTATGAGTACTGTATCTTACATGGATGAACCAAGCCAGCGTGATGAGGTCTCTCGCCTTACAGTTCAGATGGAAAACACCTACCAGTTAGGTGAGTTACTTTAATCACTTACCCCTGTATTAAACTTCTCATGTGATGAATGATGTTTACTTAAAATGATATCAGATAACCTGTCATTGTCTTCAATTCTAGCATAAGGGGGCCATAATTAAATTGAGTGATTTGATGCTGCTTTAGTTTCTTTTTCTGCAAAATGGGATCAACACCCACTGCCTACTTTTCTAATATATAGTTGAATTAAGTTGATTGGTTATTTCTGGATGGAGTTTTTATATAATTTAAATATATATGAGTAAAGTGAAAGAGTTATGTGTTGATGTTTTATCCAACAAAACCAAACAACATATAGGTGAAGGAAAAAAACTTGAAGGCAAAGGCAAATGATTAATGGTCCCCTGTTGACAGAGATATTACCTATTACCGTTGAGGGTTTGGGTCTTTGAAAACAAAGATCTTTGCACCTGCCACTGCACTCCCATGTGGAGTCCACTGTGGATATCTTTTCCCATTCATGTTTTTCCATAAACCTACTTGTTTTCTCTAAATGTATACCAACCCACTATTATCTGAATTTGTATATAATTATTGCTCTGCAGAAATTCCACAGAGACTTACCAAAAGGCAAAGGAAAACTCTGTGGACCAGGGTGATTTCACTGGTGGCTGCTTAACCCCAAAAAAATTATGAACCATCACTCCAACTTAGTAGGTCTTATAGCCAGTTTTTCACAGTAATTCCTACATGGATTATAGGGCTCCATACTTAGTCAGTCTAGTGGTATTTTCACAGTGCTTATGGTAGACAGATAATATTTCTGCAATCCAGTGTACTTCTATACTCTTTCTAGTAGCCTTGCCCAGTTTCCTTCAGGGATGTGTACCAGCCCCCCAGCACTACTTTTGATCCATAACATTCTGCTGAAGCTGACTCCTGGCTTCATAGATGGAGTAATGGATGAGTCTGGGATGGCATATAGCCCTGACCAACCCCATTAAAATCTCTGAGATTAAATTCAGGATATATTTAGCTTATTGTAGAAGTAAGAAGGCCATGGAACACAAACCAACACAAGGGCTGTAGCATTCCACCATCTTGCCCCCACCTGGAACCTAAAACTAAAAGAAAACAAGCAAATCCTTTTGTCATCATTTAAGTTCTAAATGCAGCTGGTTGCCCTTAGACTTTTCAGTCAGGCAAGCTGCTTGGATCAGGTTTTTCCCCAAATCACAACTACAAGTTCTGAATCATTTGGAACCTGTACCTTTGATCTGTGAGCTGAAAGGCTTTGAATCAAATTTCAACAAGACAAAGCAGTTGAAATGTGAACCCCTGTGTTTCTTCTTCATACAGCTGTATTTTTACCAACTTACTTTCTTCAAAATATACACTAAATCGCCATAAGTTTTAGAGATGCTTAACATTGGGCCAAGTAAGAAAAGTGATTTTTAAAATAACTTAGTATAGATAAAATATTTGCATTATTTTCTTACAAAAGACTGTGTGAATTATTCTTTTGTGACTATTCTTTTATGCTGGACAATGCATATTTTTAAGCATTCAACTAACCATTTTATTAACAATCAAAACTGAATTTCCATTTCTACTTGTTCTTGGGTTTACTTTGCATGTGAAAGGTACTCTGTGGACCCTTAGTAAAGATTTTCTCATATCCACATAATATAAAGATGGCCAGAGAGTGGGGAATTGGGAATCAGTCAGTCACCAGCACTGTTACGCTTAGTTAACTTTTCTTCTAACTGATAATGTTTGTGTCATCTAAACATCTCTTAAATGTATAGCATGGTTGTCTTCCTTGCAGCTACCAAAAATGAGGCAAAACATGAGTATAGTTCATAAGAGTAAAAATAGAACGGAAAAAGAAACTGTATGTCTTATAATAAAATACCATTTACAATTTCACACTAATTATCGAAACAAGTATATGGAGGAAAATATAGGCCATGGGTTCTGACATATTTGAATTTGAATAGTAATTTGATAGAACCCAGGAAAATGATGTCTGGGCAAGGTATTTAGCATCCTTGAATCTTACTTTCTTCATCTGTAAACAGGGATAATAGTATTATGTCACAGGTTTGCTGTGAGAATTGATGAAGTATTTAAGTTGTTCCTCTGTTCATTTTTATTGCTCTTTAATGTGACAGACTCTAGGACCTTACCATAGATCACTGAAAATAGAGGCCGCTCAGGATACTCAATGTTCTGTCCTATAAATCATGTATAAGTTTTCCACAGGGCTTTTTCTGGAGCTAAGATTAAAGTGGTACCTGATTATTTAAAAACCCTATTGTGAGCATCAGTTCAGCTAAGAGCTTCTGGTAGCCATCTTTGCTGTTACACTGAGACAAGCCTGCCTGAGAACAAAGCCAATGTGATAGAAAGTAGATCCTAAACAGAGAGAGAGAGAGACAGAGAGACAGAGAAAGACAGAGAGACAGAGAGCTCTTCCTTGAAAGGCTCAGACCCTATCTCTGATGTCAGATCTTCTTGGGTGGAACCTGTCAGTCTCTCAAGATCCTTCCTGAACATGGAGGCCTCACTGTCTCCCTACTTACATCCTCTCCCATGTTGTTGCCTTCTCAACAAGGCAATCCTCTCCCACCCCTTCCTTCAGAATGCAAAAAACACAATAACAGCAACAACCCTAATAACAGTAATGTTATTATGTGGTAGGCACTGTTCTAACTATTTTTAATATTTTATTTCAGTTAATCCTAACAAGAACTATTACACAGGATTTCAAATTACTCCAATTTTGGGAAGTTGGGGCACAGATATGTAAAATAATCTTATCTTTGTCTATTCTCTCTTAAATCTATTGAAATTTTTGTCCTGATTTTTTTGAGAGGGTGGGAGTGGGGGCAGTACTGAGATTTTGAATTCAGGACTTCAGACTTGCTAGGCAAGCACTCTATCACTTGAGCCATACCACCAGGCTGTCCTGATTCTTCAGTTGTCTGCCTTTTGATTTCTAAAACATTTTTTTTCCTCCTACGCAAAAAGAAGAAAAACTTTACTATTCACATAGTTCACTCTGAAAGTGGCATCAGGAGCTTATATTGGAAGTTAAAGCTTGAGTCTCAGCACCCATCTGAGAAAGACAATGGGTGACTCTGGATGTATGGGGGAAAGCCCCAGAGAAGTGAGAAAAGAAAATATCATCACAGTATTTCACAAATTTCAAAATAGAGCCAGTTTGGGAAAGGAAAGGAAAGGAAGGCAGGGGGGGAAGGAAGGAAGGAAGGAAGGAAGGAAGGCAGGGAGGGAAGGAGAGAAGGAGGGAGGGAGGGAGGAAGGAAGGAAAGAAGGAAGGACGGACCTTCCTTCCACTATGAAAAAACATGGCCTCTGGCAGATCCAAAGAGTCATAAATCATAACTTTTGCTACAAGCAAGAGGCCGATTCTTCTTTCCTAGTTCCATTTCAGCAGGTCATTCACTTTCTGCTCCAAAGTCACAGACAGACCTCGGCCTCCTTAGCTTTTTCCAAAGCTGCTCTGAAGGCCACAACCTCTCTAGAAAGGCCAGAATTGGAACCGGGAGTTCCCCAGGGTGGCAAATGGCCACAGGGAGACTGCTGGGGACTCTCACTGCTCAGGATCCAGGAGGTACTGTGCTGGCCAGTTCTGCCTTGGGCATTCCCTTGAAGCCCAGCCATGCAGGCAGGCTGGGAGCCAAAGGCTAGGTAGGACCCATGTTCAGTTCCCAAATTTGGGGTCACTTTTTCTTGCTTGTTGAGTGGAGGAGTTAAAAAGCAGCAAGGAGATCCTGACCAAGGCAGACCCTTTTTCAAGGTAGGGTGGCTCCCTCCCCAAACTCCTTTCACAATAGCACCAAGGGAGGCGTGCTTACCTACAGTTGGGAGGGTGCTGGACTCTTCTGGGATCTAATAAGAACTCCCTTCCTGACCTCTTCAGGCTTGGAGTTGAGGGAGGGTGACATTCTCCTTTCCACTAGCCCAGGGGACTACATATCCCTTAGGATTTCCTCCATTCCATGCACATCTCCTTGATGAAACCTTTGATTAAATCCTCCTGGAATTTTCCTAACTCATATATTCCCTTTGACCCTGACTGACAGTCATTATGAACAAACACTTATGAATATATGCTGATGACAATTAAAAGAGAATTAGGTATAACTCTTGCTCTCATTCCTTCACTCTTATCAATCCTACAATGATTGAGTCTCTGGATGCCAAGCCCTGGCACATATGCATGTCATACAATGACATGAGCAGGTGACCAGAGGGAAGAGATGACAAGGCTTAATATTCCAGGGATTTGGGATAAAGCAGATTCATCTAAAGCTGTGATCTGAGTGTGGACTAAATGCAGTTGAGAATATAAATTCCAGAGTCTCATAAATCTGGGTGTCCATCCTAGTTGTACCACTGTGGGATTATGGGTTTACACCTCTGTTTCCCCATCTGTGAATGGAGATAGCAGAGATCTACTATAAAATTATATAAGATAATAAAGGAAAAGTGCTTATTATATAGAAATGGTCAAATAGCAAAAAGTAGCTATTGTTGGTGTGGTGATTAATATCCATAAAATATTTAATTTTACTTAAATTTGGAAATCATGCACTGAACATTTCTTATGCCTTTAGCATTGAATTAGATTGTGAGGAGGATAAAATCCAATCTTGCTTACCATTCACTGGAGAGAAATGCAGGTATGTCTTAGCTATTATCAAGTGGATTAGGAGCCAGGATAATAGTGGGGACCAGTACATCTGGAGTAGGGAGATGTGAGGGATAGTTTGTGCCTGAGGGGAAATGGAAGGCTAACTAAAGAAGACATTTGAGCTGAACTTGAAACATGAGTGGGTATTTCTCAGTTGACAGATGGGGAATGGTGCATCATTTGAAAGAAAGACAAGAAAGACCAAGAGTAAAGACACATGAGCATCCTTTAAAAGACAAATGGGGTCCAGGCAACTGATGTAACATGCCTGTGGAGAGCTCTGGTGGAAGGAGAAAAGGGCATAAGTTGGGTAGGAGCCAAACCCTAGACCCCATCAAGGGGAATGTCATTGTAAGATCTGGGCTTTAAGCAATTGCCTTGGTTTTAGTGTGAAAGATTGGAGGGGGAGATGTAAGGGCTGGGAAGTCAGTTGGAAAGGTGTTCAGACTTCGAAGTAGGCAGGTCACTAACAATGGGAACTGGCAAAGATGAAACTTGTGATGTCAAACCTTAACAGAATCAATCACTTTTTAGGTAGTCTGGTAAATATATGAGTCTACTATCTCCTCCTCTCCCAGATAACCTGACTGGACACCCCATTAGGACCTCATTCTTCCTTAAATAGAGGCCAACCAAATGTCTAAAGGTCTCTTCATGTTTCAGTATGGTTTTGATTGACCTACGGGGTGGGTAGATATGATTTGATGTTACTTCTTACAAAGAAATTCCATGTGTATTTTCAGGTCCTACCAGACAATTTCCTGTGGTTACTGTCAATCATATTTTGAAAGATGTTCTAACTAACTATCTTCAGGAAGAAACATATGAACCAGAGCTCTGCAGACAGATGACTAAAACAATTTCTGAGGTACATGTATGATTTACTCAAAGTGTTAGCTGTAACTACAATATTTGCTGAAACCACAACCCACCTTACCTTTTGATGAAGAAAATTAATTTTCAGAATTAGTTAAATGGCATATTTGTATTTAATGAAAATACTTATTAAGTTACATATCATATAACCTAACTTACACATGTGTGTAAATAATAAGTCTTTGTCTGAAACAGTCATTATAGTTATGGTTCTACAACAATTACTGAAAGCATCTACAATGTATCACACTATTTTCTTACATTAAATCCACTGTATTTATGACAAAGATTAAAATTTTTTAGTTTCAATGTGACTAAATGAGAACTCCCTCCCTATTTTTAAATTCCTAGGTGATTAAAGCCCGAGTCAAGGAATTAATGATTCCACGGTATAAACTAATTGTGACTATTCACATTGGACAACTGAAGGGTCAGAGTGTACTTATTGGAAGCAGATGTCTCTGGGATCCCACAAGCGATACTGTTTCATCCTACGTTTTCAGAAATTCTTCTCTCTTTGCTCTTGCAAATGTCTTTGCAATTTATCACGAGTGATTGAAAATGAGAACTATAGTGCTTACATTTTTAAATCATGAAACAGGCTTATGATGTATACAGAAATTTTACTGCCAAATACTTTGAGGAAGAAACAAGGCTAACGTTCCAAATGACTGGAAGCTTTTGGATTTTTTCATAATTCTTGTAAGGACTGGGGGAAGGTAGGGTGGCACAACAATGAATCTTGTCTACCCAAAATAGGAACTAAGTCTGGTTCTCCTGGATGATTCTTATTTAATATTACTTTTGATACTAATGATTTTAATTACTCTTAGACAGAATCCCCTGCATTACTGTTGGATGAAGAGAAGTTTTAGAAGTATATGGCTGTATGTCCTTAGCTATATAGGTATATAAACTGACCAATAAATGACAGTAGAATATCCAACATGGAATACAAAAATGATGACTTTTAATATGCCTCAGTGCTGCATATAAAAGAATGCTGGTTTTCATTTTGCACTTAATAAATTGAGCAGTATTCATTAACTGCAATTACTGTTACACGTACCTGACAGTTGAAACTGCTGAGGTAGAATTAATGACTTCGTGATAATTATCCTGGTCCCACGGAGCCTCTAGCTAAACCTAGAAGCTCTTGTGGGCTGCCTGCACTTTGCAAAATTGCAGAGAACTGAACATTGTCTCTTCAATAATCAAAACTATAAAGTGAACAAAAGCTTTTTAGAACACTGAAGTAGACATTGCTGTATTAAATATACATGATGCTTAATAGTAAATGTATCTGGAACACATAAAATCATGCATTGGAAAGGCACACTATTTTAAATAAACACTGCCTGATGTGCTTTTGAATAGGTTTTCCTAACTTTTACACAAGATATATGGCTGGCAGCCTAACAAATGAAACATGTGTGTTTACCACTTTGTCCTATGAACTTAATAGTAAAGTGACCGAGTATGGTTTTGAATAGATGGGCGTTAAAATTTATAGGGCTGCAATGGCTTATTCTGCTGGGTAATGTATCTTGTACCATGGATCATTTATTTTTATGGAGCTTCGAAGCCTTTGCGTGCGTGTAAAATGATGCCGTGGCGTTGTTCTTGGATGGTAAGTTGACTGCCTAGAGGACATTTGCTAAAGGTCAAAGACAAATTGTTCACATATGGAGAAAATTAGCAATGTTACAGTCTTAAGGAAAGAATGAGGTGTAATTCATCTCAAAACGAATTTAACAAATGGAAAAACCAGTTGATGCTTTATAATTGTAGAATATTTTGGTGTCTTACTTTTCCCTAAAATGAATGCAGTAAAAAAAATGGATACTTTATAAATCCCTTTCCTTCTCCTTTTTCTGGTTTATAAAGTGGCTTTCAGAATGAATTTGTCAATTTTCATTGTTTTCTGCTAGTGCTTTAGGGGATTATGTCTTGTAACAATTTATTGCAACCAATATCTGTCAATCTCTGTAAGTCAGTTTTAAATCTGGATTAGATTACAAGTGTAGTAAGAAAATGAGTTTCAGATTTTCATTACACGTCTGTGACCATCTCCCTTCTTGGAACAATAGCAACAGTAATCATATAGCAACTTTGCATGAACAGATCAGAATGAACAAACTTCTTTCATGTGTCTATTATAAAAATTACTTTTGTTAAGAGTTCTAAATTCTAATCCATGAAATAATTTCTCACCATCTTTTCTGGGTAGTGTTGGAAATCAACCCCTTAAAACCTGATAGGAGTTAAAAAAAAGAAAAATGTTTACAACATACTGACATATACTGTAATTCAGATGAATTCAATAATAAGTTCTAGCAATTTATAGCAGTATAGAAATATATAATAAAAATTCACTTATTGTGACTAATTTAGGAGTGTTCATTATCGCACAAATCCTTGGGATAGGAAATTTTTAAAGAAATGGTACCATGGATTTGAAGGAGTTGCTTTATTCTGAAACACTCAAAAAACTTTTCTGGCATTTTATACTAGGTTTCCTACAGTGCCATCCTTTGGACCAGACTGGCTGTGCCCTTCCCTACCTTGGAGCCTTCATGCCTACTTCCCCCACTCTGAACAACCCCTCCATGTTCCACCTTCTTCACTCTTCAGCTGTCCAAGTCCTCCACTGATTCCTGCCTTCCTGCTCTCTTCTCTGATCATTCTCATAGTTGATCTCCTGATTGTTCTCCAACTAATTTTTGAATATTAGTTTTGAAAATGTTGATTATGTGGACAGCATCTCCTGACAACATCCACCAAATCTATTTCATCTTTACTTTTAAAGCAAGACTCACAGCTGCAGAGAAAACAGCGATACACAGCTCAACCCTCGAGGACTAGGGTCCTATCAGAATGATACAGGACACAAGTGATCACAGCACAGGATAGAACATGCTGTTACAAGAAAAATCCAGAATATATCTTCATCTGATTAGGGGAATTACAGAAGGCTTTGTAAAGGAATGTAGGCTGTGATGGAGATAAAGCAAATTTCAACAGAATGGAAAAACCCCAGTGTTCATGAAGATAAGTATTAGCACAAAGATTGGAAGGGTACATGGTGACTGTCCGGTAAAGAAACTTCACTCAGACCATAGGGAGTCATTGATGGTTTTTCATTAGGTAACAGTGTAAGTAAAGTGACTCTAAGAAGAGGAATATATTGGAAAAGTGTAAGAAGACCACATAGGAGATGTGGGAGGTAATGAGCAGCTGAACTAGGCAGTGGCACTGAAAATGGAAAGGAGATGACATTTGTATGGATATTCTATGGATAAGATCTGCACAACTGGGCAAAGGGGAAGGAAGAATCAGAAGGGAAACTAAGGCAGTATGACAAGGAGATTGATAGTTTCAAGCTGTACATGTTTACAGACTTCGGACTGAATCCTGCTGTCACAGGCACAAGCTAAGTCATCTTAAATAAATGATTGACCTCACTAGGCAGTTGCTTTCCCACAGCAATGATATTGACGGTACCACCACGCAGGATTTGAGAGGATTAATTACATGTTTGCTAAACTCTTAACAGCATAATGTGTAATAGGAAGCCCTTGACAAACAGTAGCTCCTATGTTTGCAGTTGAAAGTTCAAGTGTGGGTAACTAGAGCAATGGTCCTGTTAGCAAAAATAAGGATGTCAGCAGGAAGAGATGGAGAATAACATACTAAGTTTAATTTTATGCTCAAGTTTAAGTTAATAATGGGACATTAGATGGAGCCAGCCCCAGGCAGCTGAAGAAGTGGGAGAGCTGAGCTACGACATCAAGGTGAGAAATTTAGACTTGGCAGTCATACAAACTGAGACTAAGTTCTCCCTCCTGCTTTATAAAATATTCATTAGGCAAGTCTTTGGCAAGTATCCTCAGCACTAATACTAAATTGCTGAATATTTAGTTAGCTCTGGGAATGTCAACCAGAAATACTCCCCCAAAACCAACAGGGAAATTGTTTCCCAAGGCCAAAATTGAATACTGCCTTCCTTCTCCTCCTCCTTTTTTTTCCTCCTTTTCCTCCTTCTGCTTCTTCTTCTTCATTAAAAAAAAAATTCCTACGTGATCCTTTTTTCTATTATGAGACATCATAAGAAAGGTATAGTTTCTCTCAAAAAAATGTTGCAATGTAAATACAAGTATCAGTGTTGCTGCTTGCTGTCACTGTTAATCAAATGACTTTAAAGCAGTTTATTCATTCCTTAAAACTCTTGAGAGTTAGCCAGTATATGGAAGTGATTTAAAAATAACAGTTGGAAAATCAGAGCTTTTAAATCTAGCCATCTCTGAGAGTAAATACTTTTCTTGTTGGGACCAGCATTTGATCTGTCTTTCTAGATATTACCAAATACATGCATTAAGAAAACTTAGCATTAGGTAGTTATTGATAAATTACTATGTCTTTTTACTCCCACCATTCTTATAAAGGACTGGCCTAGATACACTCTTTCTGGTGTTCTCTGCTAGTTTCTCTCTCTGCCACTTTTCACCTTCTGCAATGTTTCTCAATGCACTGATGTGTTGCTTTCCCAAACAGTAAAAGTTCCCACACACCAAATTTGCAGAACTTCTGTCCAGGGACTCATGCTTGCCAGGCAGGTGCCCTATCATTTGGGCTCTCTCCACCAGTCCTTTTTTGTGTGAGGCATTTTTTAGAAAGGGTCTTGCAAACTATTTGCCCAGCTAGCTTTGAACCATGGTCCTCCTGATCTCTGCCTCCAGAGAGGCTAGGATCACAGGTGTGGGCCACTAGTGTCTGTCTGGTTTTTTTGTTTGTTTGTTTGTGTTTTGGTTTGGGGAGGTTTTTAAAATTTAAGCATAGATTTGAAGACAAACATCTCCCTTAGCTTCTAGCCCTTACTACCTGTGTCAGTTTTATGGCTAGTGTCTTGAGCCTGTTTCCTCAAAGGTAAGAATATATCATGTTCTTGCAATGGAGACTAAAAAGGAAAACATACATAAAATACCTGACCCATAATAGAACCTTACAGTGACCTCCACTGTTTATAGAATCTATTTCCTAAAGAATTGAGCAGATAGATTTGCCATTTCTGCTCATGCCATAATGTTATGCTCTTGAGTTAACTTTATTTCCCCCAAACCTTGAACTGCCTTCCTTGAATAACAGTTTCCTTTCTAGGCCACTTTTATGACAGTCTTTTTCATCCCAAATGTCGCCTCTCTTTGTTGATCTCTACTTGTTTTATACATTGTCCATTTAGAGGTCTTGACTCCACTTTCTCTCCTTTAGTGATTTTTGCTTCCTGTCACCTATTTTTTCCTGTCTTCATTCCCATTTAAATTTACATGCTCTTTCCATGCATGAACACAAACTACTAAAAATTTTATTGAGACTTAAGTATATTAAATATCTCTGTCAAGTCTCCTGTAATCGTTCTCCATTTTTTCCTCACCAATTTAACTATGGTACACATTTTTGGTTTTTTTTTTTTTTATGCAAGATATAACTCGAAACTTGTGGTTCTCCACCCATCCACCAAGCTATTTCCCTACCTAGCAAGGCAAGGAACCCGTATA